CTTGTTGGATATGAGATGATTATAGCCAACTCGGCGCTACGCGCCTCGTTGGCTATCTATCATCTCATATCCAACGCGCGCTCGTGGTATAATTGTTAAGTAGATCATACGCAAGAACCAATCAAAATGCGTGCGTAATTCAGCTTATCATATTATCGAAAGTTGCGTGTTTAGTTCCCAACCTCCATCTCATGCAAGTGAGGCTAGGGGTGACCTCGTTGTGAGAGACGTGAGAGCTCGATAATAATCACTCCCCCACCCTCACCCCCTCCTTATTTTTTACTGTCGGTCACCCCCTTAGTACAAATGTCTGTCTCTCCCCAGCTTTCCGCATCAAAGACGACGGCCATGATTTTCGCTAAGAAAATACTGAGCGCCCGCTCGCCATAATTACGCTCTGCAGGCTAGTCTCATCTCTGTTTTCTCAAGAGCTGTACTAACCTTTGATTGTTTTCATGACCAATTACATCATCAGCATCATCTGTAAACGCCCAACCAGGTGTATTCATTAAGAATTCCTCTGTTATAGCTGGCATGTTCTTGATAATATTTTCTTCAGTTGTATAATTGAACTGGATGATGTGCGAAGGTTTCACCATCCGAATCACGTCTAACAGCAAATGAACTCCCATACCTTGCATCAAAAATTAAATTACATGATTAGCAGTTCAATTCATGCCATGATTTTTCATCGAGTTCATCATTTACAGACCGTGTTCACCTTTTCCCTTTTCACCCATCTGTGCTCCTGCTTGGCGTTTAATTATCATTTTTCCATTTCCTACCCATTTCTTTCCAACAGGTAATGTAAGTTTACAAGTCACGTAAAATGACCTCTAGGACTTTGTCTAACGTGGCTGGTTTGAAAGCAAGCTAAGAACACATGATAAGGATTTCAACTCTACCAATTAGCTGGTTGGATAACGGCTTGACTTTACAAGGAGAAATTACATGTTTGTCACTACATAAAGTTAGAGCATCAACGGCTTCCGTTCCATAGTTGACTGTCTGGATAAAATGAATAATTATGATCTATCTTCTCGGGAAACAATTGGGATGGATTGCTAGCCAGCGGCGGATCCAGGATTTTTTTGAGGAGGGGGTGCACCACTAAAGAATGGCGTGACTGACTGGTGACCGAACGTAAACAATTTGTTATAGCGGATACGACGAAGGCATTTGCCCTGGCAGTAACATAATTATGAGCTGCTTAGAATATTTACGCCGTTTAACATAAATTCGTTTAACATAAAGCCAGCGGCGGATCCAGGATTTTTTTGAGGAGGGGGTGCACCACTAAAGAATGGCGTAACTGACTGGTGACCGGACATAAACAATTTGTAATAGCGGATACGACGAAGGCTTTTGCCGTGGCAGTAACATAATTATGAGCTGCTGAGAATATTTACGCCGTTGAACATAAATTCTTCCACCTCGTCTCTTGCTCTACTTCAACACTAAAAAACCACATATTTTTTTTTCTTGCAGAATACCACTTGTATTAGAAAGCCGCAGGCCATCTCAGGGGGGGGGATGTGCACCCCCTGCACCCTCCCCCTAGATCCGCCCATGCTAGCCGAAGCTCTTTTTTAAAGGCCAAAAAAGAAAAAAACGACCGAACATGTAAATCGAAAAAAACTTAAATTTATAAAAGGGGATTAACTGTAGAGCTGCATCAGAGAGAGGAGGTGTGGGGAAGGGATAATACAAGATAATTTGGCTTTATCAGCAGAGTTGATAATGTAATTTGACCACCGAAAAGAGTTTCTAAAGCAGTGACGTCAGAAGCATTAGACCTTCGTCAGAGGCAACAATAAAAAGTCCCCGAAAAATTTGTAATGGATGAAATTTTAATGAGGAAACAGAAATTGATCGATGCGACGTATTGTATTCACCTTTCACCCAGCCTTGTGTGTTGACAATCAGAGGGACCTTGCCCCTGGAATGATCAGCGTATGTCTTGTACACATCCTGGATACAGCGAA